AATGAATGAATGAGCAAGTGGATGAATGAGTGAATAAGTGAGTAAATTAATTAATGAATGAGTGAATGAATGAGTGAATGTATGAAAATAAAAGAATATGATAGAATAACAGAGTTGGAAGGGACCTTGGAGGTCTTCTAGTCCAAACCGCTTGCTCAGGCAGGAAGCCCTAAACCATTTCAGACAAATGGTTGTTCAATCTCATCTTAAAAATTTCCAGTGTTGGAGGATTCATAACTTCTGGTGGTAAGTTGTTCCACTGGTTAATTATTCTCTTAGGAAATTTCTTCTTAGTTCTGAATGAGTGAGTGAATGAGTAAACAAGTGTATGAATGATTGAATGAATGAATGGATGAATGGGTGAATTAACAAGTAAATGAATTGATAAATGGAATGAATGAATGATTAAAGGAGTGGATAAATGGGTCAGTGAGCAGATGAATGAGTGCAAGACACAGCTGTACAGAGGGGTTTAATCACTGGAGGATTTTAAGAAAAGACTGGACAACCCTTTGTCTGAAGTGATATAGGGCAGTGGTCGCTACCTTTTTTGGGCTCCTGTGCCAAAAATTGTGTGCGTGTTAGTGCACACGCACCAGAATGCAATGCGCCCCCCCCGCACGCCCACTGCGCATGTACATTTCATCTCCCCACACCACCCCCTGCCACCCTCTTATCTGCATTGCGCCTCACAGCTGATTTTTCAGCTGGTTTGAGGCCTTTTTTGGTCTCCCAGAGGCTTGGAAAAAGCCTCTGCAAGGCTTTTCAGGATGAATAATAGGCCCATTTCATCACTTCCGGTATTACAGGTATTACGAAAAAGGCCTCAAACCAGCCGAAAAATCAGCTGTGAGGTGCACGCATGCGCAGTGAGGTAAGTTTGCCTGCGGCTTGCGTGCCGACACAAATGGTTCTAACGTGCCACTTGTGGCACCCGTGCCATAGGTTCGCCATCACGGATATAGGGTCTCCTGCTAGAGCAGGGGGTTGGACTAGAAGACCTCAAGAGTCCCTTCCAGCTCTGTTCTGTTTGATTGATTGGGTCCATGCAGTGAAGAATTCAGAGTCCAGATTTCTTGGTATCTTGATGCCAACAAAACTTGAACGATAAGATGAGGGGAACAACTTATGATGCCTCCAAAGATCAACCAAAGATACTTTGGGTCTCGTGTCCTTCAAAGTGAGAAGGTTCCTCCAAAGTTTCCAGAGAAATAATTGAAATTTCAATGGCTCCTTGCAGCTCTCATCATTCTCACCGGGGGCGCCCCCCACTCCTCCCACAACACGTCTGTCCCTCTCAGCGACGACTCTAAAGAGCAGGCCGTGTATTCGGGGCTATTCCAGACGGCTCTGCTGCTCTTCAGGTTCACCATCGGCATGGGGGACCTGGAGTACAACGAGAACGTAAAGTACAGCGACTTAGCGATGCTGTTGGTGCTGCTCTTTGTCATCTTGACCTACATCCTCTTGCTCAACATGCTGATTGCCCTGATGAGTGAAACGGTCACCAACGTCTCTGGGTATAGCCAAAGCGTCTGGCAGTTGCAGGTAAGGCCCCGTGATTGGGACGGTGGCCATTCCTGGCCCAGCAGGGGCTTAAATGGAACCAGATCCAAAAGAACCAGCAGAAGAGAAATTTGTAGCTCGGGGTTCAACTGTGGGGTCCTTGGTGCTCTCTGCGCTGGGAGGTTTTCTTGAAGACATTTCATGAGCCAACTAGGTAACGTCATCAGTGCTAGAAGGGAGGAGGAGGAGGGGGAGGAGAGGGAGGAGGAAGGAGGTACTGAAGGTGTTAGCCTTGGCTCTCTCTGAGCTGTGTGGTTTTCTTGCAGGCATTTATGACCCAACTGGGGAGTGTTCTGGATAGTTGCTGTTCATTAGGCTGTTATTATAGTGTTTGATTCTCTCATGTTCTGTAGTTCAGTCATGAAATGTTTGTAAGAAAACAATCAAGCTCAGAGAGCACCAAGGACTCCTTCACTGCCTTCCTTCTCCTCTTCCTCCTCCTCCCTCCCTTCTAGCACTGATGACGTTACCTAATTGGGTCATGAAATGTCTGCAAGAAGACCATTAAGCTTTATCGTATTTATCATCTATCTATCTATCTATCTATCTATCTATCTATCTATCTATCTATC